CCTCCACCAGTCCCAAAAGAAAGAGTGGTCATTGTAGGAAAAGAAACTGTTGTGTAAGTCACAATCATTTCCTCAATCGGTCCCTTCTACCATGGAGTACTCTTCACATCAGGTAGAAAGTCTTGAATAGCACTTTAAATTAGTGCTACAAATCAAAAATAGTTATTGAAAGTAACTTCAAATTACAACTTCAGCACAAAGTATTGTGCAAAAAGGGTAAAATCAATGCTTTGATTTTAAGAAAACGCAGACCAGATAAAAAAAATTAACACTTTATTAACCACAAGGTAACTACTCTAAAATATATTTTTTTGGGATCAAGAGGCATCCATTTTTAGCACTAACACAATGCTTTTAATCAAAAAAGCAAATCACACTGTCAGTGATATTGAAAATAACTCTATCCTATTAATATAACGCGAGATTAAGAGTGGTTCCAAAATCAAACGATCAATTCTCTTCACCAATTGACCTGATTTCTCATGACATTAGTGATATGAAATTGGGAATACATGAAGGTAGTTTTTCTTAAGTAAGGAAACTTCTCTTATTCTTCATGAAAGGTACATTCTAAATTGAATCAGTTCCTGTCTGAACACATTTTTGAACTGGAACTTTTGTGAGAGAAGTATAAAACTGAATTACAAAAAAATTTGACAACCAAATTCACTATTTAAAGAGGGGCTATATTAGAATACCTCTTAACTAAATATCTCTAACTCTATTATTTGTTGGGTAAGTTCAGTTAAAGGTGCTCATTTCAAAAGGCTTTTTAAATACTGGGAACTTTTGATCTTGAGATTAACTACCTCCGCCCCTCTCACTGTATCATAATAAAAACACATGCCAAAAAAAGGTAAATTGTGAGGAGTTTCTTTTGACAAGAGCCTTGAGAAAAGGCTCAAATGTACATTTCAAGACTTGCACATCAGTGAGAGGGCACGAGGTTTTTCAGCCTTTTAACATGGGTACTGATTCCCCAAAAAAAAAACAAACAAACAAACAAATCTGATAAAGGGAAAATGTTCTAAATTATTTTGTCCTGGAGGAGGGTTTCAGATTTTTGCCATTTGTCTGAGAAATGATAATGTTTGGCTATGTTCATTGATCTCATTTCAAAGAATGACATTTGAGGCATCTCTTTTGCAAAACAACAAATATATTACAGTGATGATACAAATTACAAACAAATGAAAAAGAATTACTTAATCAACAATATTTGAAAATTTATTTAGTTCCAATTGGTTTTAAAGAGGAAGGAAACTTCTGTATCCAAACAGTCAATGCTATGTGATTCAAAGAAATTTAAGTTAATTTGGACATTGACATTTTGTCATAGAATGAAATATGAACTAGTTGAGCTTGAAGTCTCTACAGAAACTTGTCCAATATCAGCCTGGCTTTTTTCTTTTTTTTTTTCACACTAACCTTAAGTTCACAAAAGTTTCACAACAACAGTACCTGAAAAATACTGGTAATAACTATACAGCTAAAAAAATCAGAAAATTGAGAGCACTGGAAAACTTTTTGGAATGTTTTTTTGTTCATTAATAGGCCAATGCATTATGAAATGAGTGTGTTTTAAGCAGCCTCAATTATTAGTTTTCTGTTTCATGGGTTGCTTTCCCTTGCATAAATGGTTGTAGCACAATAAACATTCTAAAAATAATTCAGATGTTGACAGATTTCTGGGTTTCACAGTGTTAAGTTTTGGAGATGACAAAGAATGTAACTTCTGAAGACTTATTTATGTTGATCACAACTGAGTTTTACTATTTTAAAATTATTTGTAGCTACAGTATCATATTGAATAGTGTATTACCCTAGCGGCCAATAGTGAGACTTCGTAACCAAATAATTTTATAAATCAGTTGTTAGGGTGAATCAAACATTGTAACATTCTTTAATACTATTGTTTTGTTTTTGTCGTTGATGCTGTGAATGTCATCTTTAGCATACAACCTGGTGCTTATTTCTTACTTATTTATTAAGAGGTTTCTGTACTACAACTGGATTTCCAAAAGCTAAATGCGATACCCAGTTTTGTTTGTAATACCAAATATCCAACCAAGTTTTGAAGGAGGCCAACCTTTTCCACTCGACAATCACAGCTAACTGCGATTAAGACAGATGCTTTGTAAGTAACAGAGTATTGTGATAGTTTTAGTAAGTCACAACGTTTAGCGACACAGCAAAAGCAAAGCACTAGGGCGCAAAATAGACTGAATAACTTAACAACAGGCACTTTGAGATGTAAGTTAGTTTCTTTGTTTGACAACCATAAGATATGCAGTTGTGTTTTTGTTTCCATCATTCTGTAGACTGCACTCTTAACATGTTAACATGTTTTTGTGTCATTGAGTAAAGATACAGTGAGGACAATTCAATCCATTCCCCTGTTAAGAGTTGTTGTTGGAACTCATATTGAGAAGGAAAAAAAAAATAAAGTGCAACTTGTTTTAAAGTTGGGAATTTTAACTGAGGCTCTGTGTTAATTGACTTGTCACAATTTTGTTTTTGAACTTAACATAATTTCTCCCTATAGTGATACAGCTGAATCATTCATTAAGTAAAATAAATGATTGCCAGCCCAAGAAGCTTTTAACGTCATGAAAATTCTCCTTGTCATTAACAGAGGGTATGTCTAGAGAAAGGTATGGAGAAAATGGTTACTGACATAGGATAAAAAGAGTTTGTACAGTCAAAATAAATTATATTTTTAAAGCACAATCTGTCACGTACGTTAACTAAAATGAGCAATGGTTTAATCATCCTTGGGAATATGTATCAAAAAACAAGGTATGCCAAAAAACAGGATTTATCTTCCTCAAGACTGCCGGGTTATTAACCATTAATTGGGTTATTACACTATATCTCTCAATCAAATGTGGCTTATTCCAGAGACAACCCAACCAATTGGCTTTAACATGTTAATAATACCCAACGAAAAGTAAGTAACAGCTTTCCATGATGCTTAGCGCAATTACTTTCCATGATTTCTTACCGTTTTCTCTTTTGGTAGAAAAAAAATTCGATGACCATTTCAGCGAGTCTTTGTACACATTGTGCGACGTAATAAAAATGTATTTTCACCACCATCATCTTGTAAACACAGCCACATCCGACAAATCCACCTTCGTTGTATCGCATTGAATGCAGTTGTTATTTGTCGCTGGCTGGATGATTTTAATGATAATTTTAAAAGACGTTTCGGCTTCGCTTCGGCTAACGGCAAGATTTACGCACAACCCTTTTCGTCATTAGTTACTGTATATAAGAAAACGATGGCGAAAAACAATATTTACCTTCAGGACTGATGGTTTGTTTTGGAAAGGTATCGTGTTAAAAGGGAATCTCTCCCTGCTAACTCATATCCTCAAGCATGAATCTGAACCATTTTCATTAGTCATTACTCCAATAAATAGGTCAACCTACCCTTCTCGCACGCAAAATTAATTATTCTCAAATGAAGACGATTTCTCTCTTGGCTCTTGGAAAACGATTTCGTGAAGCAATGCATACTATCATCATCTCTATTGCTAGGTGAAGGATGAAAAACTGAATGGCATTCCCCGGCAATCCTCAGCTCAGCGGTTTCCCTACTTTCAAAATGGCGCCGCTACTTTAAAAGGCAGAGAAGCACCTGGGACCAGGTTGCGCTTTTTCGGGGTACTGATACACGCCCATGGCGCAAACCATATCATTTTGAACCTCACAAATCGTTTTGGCGAAAAACGTAAGGGAGAGAGAGCTGTGAAGATTCACCCGATCCATTAGCTTTCGAAAAAAAATGGTAGACCCATGCATAAGCTTACGACCAAAATTTTCATTGTTACAGTTCTTGATACCTTTTTGGTTGCATTTCAAAGCTACCTTAATCTCGACCTGGAATGAAAACATGGCAAACAAAAATCCTTTTTTTCGGCTCAGCAAAGTTAACGATTCTTGGAAGAAACAGGTATTTGGAGAAACACACTATTGGAATCTGGAGTGGATCAAAGAGGAAATAACGTTATCAAACGGATAAATCGTTATTCATCGGATAAGTGTTATCAAAACGTACTGCGCAGTCCAAGTTAAAGAACCGATTTATCCAGTGGATAGCGTTATCTACCCTTCAAGTGACCGAGGCCAGAAGGCGCACTTGCGCTAAAGACGTGTTCTCTTTCTTACTTCTTCCCAGACTTCACAAAAGACAACGACACAAGAAAAACCCTCTCGCGAGACTAGACCTTCTCGCTTACCTCGCGTTTGTGTCGCGTCCCTTCTACTGAAAACAAAAAAATAAGTTATGCCTGTCTTGCACGCTATTTATCAAATAATGGTTGCATGCGCGCGGCACTTACTGACGTCAGCCTAATTACAACTTTCCACTTGTCATTTAATCGTTAAATTAGAGTGTATGTCGTCATTACAATTATTCCTTTTCTTTACAATCAAAATTGCCTTGCGCCATGGCGCACAACGACGACCAGTTTCTGGACTAGGATCCGCTACGATTGCCACTCTCAGGTGCGTCCCGAAGACTTTTCGGTTTTTTTTGCGATATGGATCTCTTCTAGTCTAGGAGAAACTGAGTGCCTAAGTTCTTGGAGTCATATTCTTTTTCACACGCTGAGTGCACGCACCCAATGATACCATGACATTAGTCTATATCACAGAAATTACGTTGCGACTACGGGAACTTCCAAGACAGTTTATGTAGGCCATTAAATTGAGAGAATACCGTCGCAACTTTTTTGATAAGAAGCGGAATTCGGTGCTTCCCACTCTCATGTCGATCTGTTTGTTAGCTTAAACAGATTACTAATCTTTTTTATCATCAACGGACTTGTTCCCGCGTCGATATCAGGAATTGCAAGTTATCAAAACGCGTAAGTCTCAGATCTGCTTGTGACTAGCTAAGATGATAGAGCTGAACACTGAGGGAGCGGCTAAATTAAAACGAAAGCAATCGCGGAATTAAGTCTAGATAAACAGTGAGAAACTGCTCGATTTCCGAGGCCATGATTCTGGTTAGTTACGGAGAAAATGAATTCCAAAATGCAGACTCTTAAATCTATTTTCCAGGGAACAACTGCAGAGGGGATCGATAAATGAGTGACCTCCAAACCTCCAAGAAACGGACTGCATTTAATTCAAATTCGCCTTGGTATTGAACCCTTTCCGCTTTTCGTGTTCCGGGGTTATGCCCGAAACTCATGAGCGGCAAAGGGAGAAGTCAGACTCGCTTTACGGAGGCGACAGCATTGGAGGGACTTACACGCTTCCAAATTTTGCGTCCGAAGCTCCTTTAACGGATGTAAGGAAGAATCGTTTACTTGCTGTCAATAGAGATACATTAGATAGAAAGGGACATAACCAGTGCAATGAACAGATAAAGGATGCTTTGAGTGATGTTCAACAACAGACTACACAGAACGATTCACAGGGTTTTTTGAAGCTCGATTATAACGAATCTGGTGATACTGAAGATGTGCTCTCCGCACCAAGAAACATCGGCAAGGATTTCTCGAGCAGGGCAGAGTCAAATAGAGAAAGAGGTCACAATGGATTCTCTACGGAAAGGGAAATATCATTGCCAAATGGAAAGAAATTGTTCACACACAAAGGGAACAACTCGAGAAGTTTACATGAAAAATTATCATTAAAGCATGTCGATACTAGCTCGTCCATTTTGGGTCAAAGGGCTTCGTACGCTGTTTGTGATGTTGTACAACCGATGAATGAAAATATACAGATGGATGAAAAAGTAAACCTGAGACGACGTGGTAGTTTGGGGTCCGAACTTCAAGAAGCACAAAACTCGAACTTCAAAACTTTAGCTCCCGGGTCATGTTCATTACAAGATTCAAATGAAGCAAGAGTAGATCCATTAACTGCAGAAATTCCCAATGTCAGAGGACAAAACTGGTTGAATAGAAAGGATGATAGAGGCATCCTTGTGCAAAATGCGCCCCTTGTTTTTCCTCAAGAATCCGACTTGGCACTCTCAAAGCAAACTACCTCAAAGGTAGACCATGAATCCTCGCGGCCCCTCGGAACCACACCTTGTGGGAGTAACATCGAATCTGTCATCACGAGAGACGCCGAGAAAATCAAACAAACAGGTTTGACTGACAGCTTTAAAGGCAACCAACCAGACAACACCTTTAGTGACACGAACGATCGTTCGGTTCAGATTTTAGTCCAAACCCATCCCGACGGCGGATGGGGCTGGGTTGTATGTTTTGGCGCATTTATAGTCCAGTTCATCGCCCTCGGTATGCAAAATACAGCAGGTATTGTTTACACGGAACTGGTGAAGGAACTAAAGACTCCCAGAGGAGCCACAGGTTGGTAAAAGCAGGAGCCCCTAATGGGTTCCTGGTAAAAATTAAAAAGTGATAGCTATAGTTTATCGTCCTACAAGAAAAATAAACTTGTCACAATGCCAGACGCGCGTAGCAACTAAACATGGCTGCAATTGAAAAGAGTAATATAAACTTCATGTCATGATAAGTGTCAGTCTGTGTAGAAGTGCAAGGTAGTCAACGAAGTTATCTTTATTACATTTTTTCCAGCTTGGGTCGGGTCACTTGCGACTGGGATCATGTTTTTCCTCGGCCCACTTACCACCTCGATGTGTGAAAGACTCGGCTGCAGAATCGTCACCATTTGCGGGGGTCTCATCTGCATCGCAGGGCTTTTACTTTCGTCATTAGTTACCAGTCTATTTCCGTTGTATTTAACTTACGGTCTCATGTTTGGGGCTGGGACGAGCCTTTGCTATTTTCCCACAATAATTGTGCTTTCTAAATACTTCAAACGCCGAATTGCGGTCGTGAACGGCCTGGTAACAGCCGGAAGTGGAGTGGGAACGCTAGTGATTGGCCCAGTCGCCCAAGTACTGTTTTTGCGTTTTGGCGTACCAAACACTTTTCGAATCGTGGCAGGAATTTTCACCATAGTGATCTTATGCGGAGCAACGTTCCGACCCGTTCCTGCCAAGTACCTTCAGAACATTAGAAATTCTGAGGGGGAGCGGAAAAGAAAGCTTTTTGACTGGAGCATTTTCAAGAATAAGGGATATGTTATCTGGATCGCTTCTCTGGCGACATTTCAGC